AAGTACAACCAAAAAAAAGAATGTGCATTAGCCCATCCAAGAACACAGTATGTCTTTATATTTTGAAGTCTGTTTTTTAATTAAATAGCAGTGTTTTAAATTTTTGTCATATAGGTCATGTCTACTTCTCATTAAGTTTATTCCTAGATGTCATCTCTTAATTGGCTCGAATTTGTCTCCTGGTATTTAATTTCAGAAGGACTCATGGGAATAAACATTTCATGGGTTCTTATACATTCAAGACTGTGATACAGCAAGTGCCTTTGTACAAGACTATTATACAAGTGTCTTTGTATTTTGAACTGGAGTGAGTAAAAATCCTTGGCTTTCACTGTCCTTGCTTAAGCACTGCTTAATTACTGTTGCATCCTATTTTAGCATTAACTGACACTATAAAGAAGCCTGATGCCAATCTAGTTTCCTTCTACTTCTGAGAGATGTGATCCTTTTAACTGGCTTCTGTTTAAGCCCCTTGTATTTAAAGTTCAACAGTTTCATTAGATATACCTTATGTTCAGTCTATGGGGTCCCTTTCTTCTGAAAAGCAGCATGTCTATTTACATACATATATTCGAGTCTTCTTTAATTTCAGGAAAGTTTTCTTATAGTTTTAAATACCCTTCAAAACCCTTCTTTCACTCTGCTATACTCTATTTCACATTTATATAATAATTCATTGATAGACTATAACATCTATGTGTGTGTACTTAGTATGAGGCTTTGCCTAAGCTAGTTTACATGTTATTATATGGACAAATGTAATCTACTTGACAACCCTATGTAATAGGCATTAATAGTCCCATTTTACAGATGAAGATCAATGCTCATAGCTGGTAGGTGTCAGAGCTGAAGCTTAAGCCCCAGAAAAGATGTCTTTTTCTTCCACCAACCATATATTTTCAAAGTATTGTCATCACAAACAAAAGGTACACATACATAGATTGGGTGATTACATAGAGAAAAGTGTACACATATTCATTTTTGAATGCTCAATTTTCTGAATAAAAGGCGACATGAAAGAATTTTTTAAATGGCCAATATAAGCAGGGTTTTGTTGTTGGCTAGTTGGTTATTTCCTTAATTTTGGGCCACCTAGAACATCTGTTTAAGATTTTTAAAATTCCCATTAGAGAGGAAAAATGGTGTGGAAATGGTGATTAACTATAGAACTAGACCTCCCTGCAAATCACAAGTATAATACACTTTTATTGTAATGAACAAAGCTCTCCTAGGTAACCTATTGTCGACCTTTTGTCATAACTTACTTTAAAAATGAAAGATGCAACAAGATAAAGTTCTAGGTGTATCTGAGTCAAGAAAAAAAATATTTACACTTATTTTGTAGTCCTGTCTCCTTATTCCACAGATGAGAAAAACCAGGATCCAGAGAACTGGAGGCAAGAGTCCAAGATTCTGGGAGAGATGGTTGGATTAGGAGCTGGAGCTTCTTTGAGCATTGGAAATAGTCCTTAATACGAGAAGACAGAGATATTAAGAGGAGGGATCCATTTAACAATTTGTCTCTCAGACGTATTCAACTGAATAAATCTGCCCCTACATGTTTTTACTAAAACATAGTGCAATCAAAAGTCAAAGTATCATATTAGCTAATAAAAAATTGTTCCGATATATGCAGTAAAAGGGAACTGAAAGCATTATTTCCAAACTGATAGTGCCATATATAAATTCACCCACATATGAGTCCAGCATATTGTGACAAACTCCTCTTGTGGTCTTACACTTTGCTTTTCATTTGTTCCAACAGGAGTTGATATTTTAGGTATACATGCCAAAAGGTAACCCGAAACAGACGCTGGGATGCTTATGGTTAACCTCAGCACATTGAAAAGCAAGGAGAGGCCAAATGTTATACGCAGAACCATGAATCAGAGTAGATATGAAGCATTGACAATAGATTGCAGTGTGTCTTGAAACGAACCGCTATCTATTGGGAGAGGTGAAATGCAACAAAAACTTTCTCAAAACCATCAAAAAGACTAAATTTGAATCTGACCCACAGAGGTTGATCATAACTGAGGAATTTGACCCATAAGACAAACGGTTCTATTGATCCAAGGGGGGTTCAATATAATGTGGAACTATTCTTACAAGATTATTTGTCTGCCTAATTTTAACCTTCAAGAAAATGAATAGAGAAATGATAACTCATTGCAGCACCTGCCAAACATTTTGTGATGTATATTGCTTTAATAATAAATTATTAGTGCCATAAAGACTTCTACTTTGACCTGTCTGTAGAGGCTAGCAATGGATATAAGGCTAAGACATCCTGCTTATTTCACTAATGGATGTTCTCGTGATTGGTTCACGTACCCACTGTCTCTTTATTAGTAGGGGGCAACATGATGTAACACACATCCAGACATAATAAACCATATTACATCAGCATTCTCCAGAGCAGAAGACCTGGACAAAATTAGGTATTTATAAGGAAAAAGTGCAATTCCTTAAGAAAGTTGGAACCCATGGATAGATGAGATTACAGTTTATAGGTCTAACATGATCAAACTTAAATATGTGATGTACTCGTTTTATTGACTTCCCATATGTTCTTAGAGGAAATAGTTCCTCTTTGATCTGATATTATCTTACCTACTATTAGGTAGCACCCACCATTAACAAAAGAAGGGAGAAGGGGCTGAGGCCAAGAGACTCAGTGGCTTGGCATCTCTCTTCCAACACTGGCATCCTCTCCCTCACTCTCCAAGACATGAGATTCCAAGGACATCTAGAATTGATTGAGCTAATATCTGAATTTCACTCTTGTTCATATAATAACATTTTATGTATTAATTTATATTTCATTATTATATCCAATTTCGCATGGGTCCTTTCTAATTCAAGTGTTGTCTTTTGGTATTTTTAATTATCTCTGGCTGCCTCTGTTCCAACCAGGGAGGGCACTCCTCAAATGTCTGCACTGTGATATTTTCTACATTCTTGGAACAACTGTGATCAAACAAATTTGAAAGCAAATTTCCTAAAAATAGTAATTTGCTTTTCCAGTATGCAGTACTCACAGAAGGTTGTAAAATTCTTTCAAGCAAGACGTATACATGCTACTTTCTCTCCAGATTTGTAATTATATTGTGCTGCCAATATGCAAATATAGTATCCTACACTTCAAAACTAGAAAATTAGAAGGATGTTTCAAATTTTTGTGAAGGGAGGGTTGAAAACACACATACACACACACACACATGGTCTTGCTCTGTCACCGAGGCTGGAGGGCAGTGGCATGATCATAGCTCACTGTGATGCTGAATTCCTGGTATCAAGCAATCTTCCCACCTCAGCTTCCTGTGTAGCTAGAACTACAGGCATGTGCCACCAACCACCTCCCCAACTATTATTTTTTTTGCAAAGACAGAGGTCTTGTTGTCCATTCTGATCTCAAACTTCTGCCTTGAAGCAATCCTCCCACCTTGGCCTCCCAAAGAATTAGGATTACAGGTGTGATTGATGGGTATTTGGGTTGGTACCAAGTCTTTGCTATTGTGAACAGTGCCACAATAAACATACATGTGCATGTGTCTTTATAATAGAATGATTTATAATCCTTTGGGTATATATCCTTCAATGGGATTGCTGGGTCAAATGGTTATTTCTATTTCTAGTTCCTTGCCACACTGTCTTCCACAATGGTTGAATTAATTTACACTTCCACCAACAGTGTCAGCGTTTGTCCACATCCTCTCCACTATCTGTTGTCTCCTGATTTTTTAATGATTGCCATTCTAATTGGTGTGAGGTGATATCTCAATGTGGTTTTGATTTGCATTTCTCAAATGACCAGTGATGATGAGCTTTCAATTCATATGTTTGCTGGCTGCATAAGTGTCTTCTTTTGAAAAATATCTGTTCATATCCTTTGCCCACTTCTTGATGGGGTTTTTTTTCTTGTAAATTAGTGTAAGCTCTCTGTAGATTCTGGATATTAGCCCTTTGTCAGATGGCTAGATTGCAAAAACTTTTTCCCATTCTGTTGGTTGCTGGTTCACTCTAATGATTGTTTCTTTTGCTGTGCAGAAGCTCTTAAGTTTAATCAGATCTGATTTGTCTATTTTGGCTTTTGTTGCCAAGGCTTTTGGTGTTTTAGTCATGAAGTCCTTGCCCATGCTTATGTCCTGAATGGTATTGCCAAGGTTTTCTTCTAGAGTTTTTATGGTGTTAGGCCTAATGTTTAAATATTTAATCCATCTAGAGTTAATTTTTGTTTAAGGCGTAAGGAAGGGAGAAAATGTGGCACACATACACTGTGGAATACTACACAGCCATTAAAACGATGAGTTCATATCGTTTGCAGGGACATGGATGAAACTGGAAACCATCATTCTCAGCAAACTGACACAAGAACCGAAAACCAAACTCTGCATGTTCTCATTCATAAGTGGGTGTTGAAAAATGAGAATACACTGACACAGGGAGGGGAACATCACATACTGGGGCCTGGGGGTTAGGAGGCTGGGGAGGAATAGCAGTGGGTGAGGGATTGGGGAGAGAAAGCCTTAGGAGAAATACCTAATGTAGATGATGGGGCGATGGATGCAGCAAACCACCACCATGCCATGTGTATACCTATGTAACAAACCTGCATGATCTGCATATGTACCCCAGAACTTAAAGTGTAATAAATAAACTAAATTAAATAAAAACTAATTCTCTGAAAGCAATGGAATTCTACTAAGACAATAAAAATGAAAGCCTTTGGGAAGAAAAAAAAAAAGGATTACAAGTATGAATTACTGTGACCACCCTGAAAACTTTTTTACTGGGAAGTAATTTTTCAGTAAAATGAGTTGTTGTTATTGTTGTAAGAACAGAAAAGGATATGAATTCAAACCTGTAGTTATCCAAAAGAAGGGAATAATACTGTTTAAAAGTAGAAGATACACTAAAATATCTCTGCCTAATTTCCTGTTCTCAAAGATACCTATTAAATAGTCATTTATATACCTCTCTATTTATTCCTTAAACAGGCTGCATGGAGGTCGTAGCAGGAATGTGTAGATATTGGAAATCTACCAGATGTATCATCAGACAAACTGACTGAAGTGGAGAAGAGAATCAATCAGCCAAATAATTACAGAAGTTGTACCACTGCCTGAAATATCTTGACTGATTCAACAGAAGTTGAATTTTTGGTAAATAAATTCTGAAAATAATTACAAGCTTCCTTTTGATTTGAATATTACATGTGGAGTTCTAATAAGGGCCAATTTGATGTCATTGACCCATAACAAAATAGAAGGAACATGTTGCTTTGACTTAAAGGCACTGCAATGTCTGGGAATCGATTTAACCATTTTGTCAGATCAATAAGGTTTAGTGCAACTAGCCAGACACCTCCGCCTCTCAGTCAAGGAGCAGCTTTCTTTCTTCGGGCTGGGCTTATTTACATTAGGAAAGCAGCCTTGTTTCTTTTCAATCATATCTCTGCCCCTGCTCATCTGCAGTGAAGGCTGCTGGTTTCACATTTCCATTGTTTGCTTTTTATTCGGAGCAGCAGTAACTTCACAGGCTAACGTACAGCTTCCTGATAGTTAACCATTCCTCCTAGAAGCTAATCTTTACAGGGAAAAATCTTTATGTGATTTAATGCAATTTGGGAAAAAAAATGAGCATGTTCCCTGAGATCTCTGAGGAGATATTATCTTATAATGAGGCAAGAAACTTGAACCAATTATCTGAGGCAAACACACAACTGTCAGGAAACAGTAGTTGATGTGCCATTAGCTGCCCCTCTCACACTCTCAGCTGCATTGCTATGGTTTATCAGCACCGTGGGGGAAGAGAAGGGATATTTAGGTGCCGATAAATCAATGAAAACTTAATAAACCAACTGTTAATCTATCTCTACAATTCTCTCAAAATATTTTAAAATACCTGGTAGAATTGATATATTCTTCAGCAGCTCAGGGAAGATGCTTGTTGGGTTTATTTTATATTTTTTCTATTAATTGGGGTAACAGGCTCTCTAAAATAAAATATACCAGATTTTGAATTATCCATATTTTTAGGTACATTTTTAGTCAAAATGTTGCCTTCCTGCATATAAGGCTTTGGTAACTAGTAATTCTCGTTATACAGGAGGCATTTTCCTGTCTCAAATGTCAAAACAAGAGATTATGGCCGCTATAAAACCTGCACACATAATCCAGATTTCAATTATCTGTGGACGACTTGACACATTATACATGGTGTGTATGGTGCAGGATGCTTGTCTTCATAATTTAACAGTTTCAGCCAATTATCCAGCACATTCTCTGCCATCTTACAAAGTGTCTAACTATGCAACAACAATGCATCCTTAAGGATACCCCAGGTGACTGCAATATACACTGAAGGCCACAATGAAGTCATGAGAATTTAGGAGTGTGCTCACTTACAGTTACTCTAATTCCAAAACATTAACTTGAGAAAACCTCCTGAAAATGCCTGTAACAAATTTCTCTTGGTCACTAGAGCTATAAATAATAGGTAGAAATGTTCAGGTCTAGACTCATAGCTCTTAGAGTGCTTAAACAAAGGAGAATCTATTCCCATGAGCTCAGACCTTCATTCTTTCAACAAGCATTTAAGCTTTTGCTATGTATCAGGTACCACTTCGTACATACTAATTGGTTCTGAAAATCTCAAAGCTTAATTTACAGGTTGATTCCAGTCAGAGATTAAAAAGCTGGACTTCTTCAGAACAGAAAATGCTTGAGACCCTTATTAAAGAAAATGCATACACACATATACACACACATACATATACCCAAAGTTTGTTGTGGGGTGGGTAGGTGTGAAGGTACCTTATGACCATGAGATAAGAATTATGTTGCCTTTAGCTTGAAAGATATACCTAGCTGTGAAAATATGCTTTTCTAAGATTTTTTTCCTCTTGGATAGATAAGTACAAGGAGGCATTTTTGACATATAAAATGTTTTCCATCCAACATGTGTCTCAACAAAATTTATGTCTCTATTGTCAGTATGCTTTTAAGTATATTTATGAGTTTGTGAGCTAGGGAGATGTCCCATGGGATAGTATTTGGCAATGTTTATTTCTCTTTCACCTCAAAATAAATAGCTAGAAGGACCCCTCGCTGACTTCTGACCAGACATCAGAGGCATGGCTGCCCATTGGAGAGTTCAAAGACAGCAGAAAGTGATATCATCTTTCTAAAATACAAGTATCACTTTAGGTACCCAAAGGGAGACTCAAGAGTTACCTCTAAGTAGAGGGAGCCCAGGGAGCTGGAGGTTGTGAATCCTGAAATGTAAGGGATGATCCTCAAATATCCTCTTGCTTTTTCTACTGTAATAATGTTGGATTTTTCAATAACGCTCAAATGTCCTTTCTATATTCATGCATCACTGTCTAATTTTACATTCCACATCAAGAAGTTCATTTAAGTCACCTAGATAAGGGGTTGGCAAACTCAGGAAACACTTTTTAAAAATAAGCTCCAAGTGATAGAGGACAGCTCCCTTCTGTCCCCTTGACCTCTCTGTTGTGCTTATAGGACCGTGATGCCAACCTTCACATTCCTGATTGCCGGATTTCTGAACAGAGAAATTTGATTTTTGTGACTATCAAATCAGCAGCTGCACCTTGATGTTGCCCATTATCATCATTCATATTTCATTAGTATGGCTAATGAAACTCCTCACTCTTCTTACTCAAAGTGACCTCAGGCCAGAAGAAACCATGATTTGTGGGCAACCACCATAGGCAGGGCCCATTGGCTCTCCATCACAGAGACAATAAGAAAGGCAGCCTCACTCAGCTACTCTCTGCTTCCACCCAAGAGAATGTCTACTTCCCACAGAGCAAAATTTGCTCCAGCCATGAAATATGAATGAAAAAGTTGAATATTCCTTCAGCCAACAGTTAACAACCAAGAACTGACAAAATGCATTACTTCAATAAATAAAGGTAGATTTTACAAGCAAAACAAAAAGCATTCTCTTTTTGTACAAGTGTTTCTTTGTTTATTTAGTTTTTTTCCTTCACCTCCTTAAAGGTCCTCTACTCTAAGGAACCTGCCATAGAAGCATCAACGTTAGAGGAATACAACTGGCTAAAAATGATTCCGGGAAAGAAAAGATCATTTTGTCATCAAGACAAAGAAAGGGAACTGGATTCAGAGTCACTCGAAGCACCAGAGAACAAGTCTTCTAGCTCCGGCCTCTACTTTATTTCATTACCTCCCTAATGGGAATTTGAGAGACAGAGCAGTGGAGTAACCGTTTAGGTATCAGATATTGTACATGAATGAACTTATGTGAGAGGGATTTGTATGCTTGCATTTAAAAAGCTCCTGACAAAAATATGATCTATTTACATTTTAAGGGATTAAAAATATAAATAAGCAGGCCCCGGGCATGGTGGCTCACACCTGTAATCCCAGCACTTTGTGAGGCTGAGGCGGGTGGATCACCTGAGGTCAGGAGTTCAAGACCAGCCTGACCAACATGGAGAACCCCCATCTCTACCAAAAAAAATGTAAAATTAGCCAGGTGTGGTGGCACATGCCTATAATCCAAGCTACTCAGGAGGCTGAGGCAGGAGAATCGCTTGAACCCAGGTGGCAGAGGTTGTGATAAGCCAAGATCGTGCCATTGCACTCTAGCCTGGGAAACAAGAGCAAAACTCCATCTCAAAAAAAAAAAAAAAGTATAAGCAAACACTTTACTATTTGTCTCGAACACTGAAACACTAAATCATCACAGTATAAAAGCTGATAATGGGTTTGTTATACCAGCAACACACATGTTAAAACAAACTGTCTAAAAGTCATTTAGATTTGTACAGCTGGCAAAATGGTTGTCTTCTGGAACCAGAATCTCCTCCACCACTCATTAAATATTTGACCTGGAGCCAGGTAATAACACTCTAAGCCTCAGTTTCCCCATTTGTAGGATGGAAATAATAATAGAACCCTATCACAGAATTGCATTGTGTATTATATGAACTAACCGGAAAAACAAAATTCTTAGCTGAACACCTAAGACAAAATAAGTTTTCGAACATTAGTTCTACACAAAAAAGCAAGTGTAGACAAATAAAACAGACTAGGGGTGGGTGGAAGGATTGAGAAAAAACAGTCCCGCTTTATTGAGACAAACACCAAATATTTAAAATCTGGGTCAAAATCAACTAAGAATAGATATAATACAGTTTTTAAAAACACACTCCAAAGAAGTATGGACTAAAAATATATTGAAGAAATGTGTCAAGATGAAAAATTTATGCAGTAGGAATATTTAATAGGCTATTAAACCAAGATGCTTTAAGGCCTATTTATTTCATGAGAATGTTAAGGAAAAAAATAGTATGACCCTCTCTCAAACTCTTCTCCAGCACTATCATCAGAGACAAGTAGTTCACTTGATGCACAAAGGCAACTTTTGCATCCATAGATGAAACTGGCATTAGGCAAAGAGAGAGTTCTAGTGGAGAAAATGTATTATTATTCAAGACAGTGCTGAGCCCAGTTATTAGTCACTAAGTCAACAACTATTTACCAAGTACCATTCTTGTGCACATGCAGCACAAGACACAGGGTACAAAAACAGTGAACAGGCCGGGCCTGGTGGCTCACACCTGTAATCCCAGCACTTTGGGAGGCCGAGGCGGGTGGATCACGAGGTCAAGAGATCAAGACCATCCTGGTCAACAAGGTGAAACACCGTCTCTACTAAAAATACAGAAATTAGCTGGGCATGGTGGTATGTGCCTGTAATCCCAGCTACTCAGGAGGCTGAGGCAGGAGAATTGCCTGAACCCAGGAGGCGGAGGTTGTGGTGAGCCGAGATCGCGCCATTGCACTCCAGCCTGGGTAACAAGAGCGAGACTCTGTCTCAAAAAAAAAAAAAAAAAACTGAACAAAGTGAAGCATGGCTCAGACTCTCATAATGCTCACATTCCAGTGTGAAAGGCCAGCTGTTAATCAAACCATGATCCAAACGGCTGTTTATTGCCAACCTAGGGAAAGTGCTATGAAGAGACAAGCGGTGTAGGCTGCAGTTCTGAAACGCTTCAATGAGAAGAGGGAATAAGTAGTAGACGACTGATAGAGGGGGTTACAGATTAAGGAGCCCGTAGTTGTTTTAAGATCTTTTAAGGAAAAGGCTAGAATAAACGAAATGAACAATCGGGATTCAGTTCGTCAATAAGCAGATGAGATCACGTAATTATTTAAGACCTGATTACATTTTTTAGTTTCTGTAATTAAATGTATGTCTGTATTCTCTTCTGTTAGAAAAGCTCAGTGCTCATGCCAGGGGAACCTGGCGTAGCTATTTGTGTTCTAACAAGAGACTCTTCTTCCACATTTTAAAAATAAATGTTTCAACCCAGCAGTAAGGAGTCTGAACATAGCTCAAGATTAACTCTGAGATCAAGCCAAGTGAAGCCTTTGCCTAAGCTCCAGAAAACCCGTTTCTGGAAGATAATCACATCCAAATAAATGTTTCTAAGAGGGACAATGTCATTTTCTCCTCAGGGGAGTAGGCATTTTTGCCTATTCATCCTTTTTTTCTAATTATGAGTTTCATTATGTCTCATGCAGGCTTATCTCCACTTGAAATGCGTCTGTTTTTCAGTGGTCCAATTTAGTGTGTTTGGGATTTATCCCGCATTTGCTCACCTCTGGAAGAGACCTGCCAGGACTGGGTTGCCTCCTTTTCACTGAGCCTGTCCTGCTGGAATGCTTTAACCAATGGCTCTCCTAAGCATACAGGATGTCCTTGCTCTGGGAGGTTTCTATTTACTTTTGAACTTAGTGGCATTTGTCTAAGACTGGACCCCATTCTTTTAGAGCCCCTGGCCTCTTCCTATCATTATATTCTCAAGGCTACACCTTGGTTACAGGCAGATCTTTCGTCCCAACTGCTATTTGTTTAGAGAGCTTGATGATTTATCAAATGACCTAGATAAAAGATCTCCAAGTATATCAGCTGTTTGTTGTCCAAAGTGCTGCTTTTTTCAGACCTAACATGACTATAGATCAAAATTATGAATGTACCCTCTTGGAAGTGTTTGAAGGTCATCAAAAGAAAAATGAATGAAAAAATTTGCAAAGGTCTATCAAGAACAGACTGTAGTTGACTGAGAGACAAGGTAATTGGTATATGCTAGAAGGTTCAAATCCCTCAAAAGAGCTGACTTTGATTTGAAGAAGATAAAATAAAGATGTACGCCTACTTTCTGGGATGTGTTCTGCAGGTAACTCCACAGCACTGCTAATGGAGATGAAGGACAGCCACAGTCAGGTGGCTCAGATCATTAGCAACCTTTGGTTAACATGCCATATAAATTACATTCATTTGTTATTTGACAAATATTAATGGGGTACTTGCTGTGTGCCAGGCACTGTTCTAGGTTCTAGAGTTAAAGCAGTGAATACAAGTCCTGAGGGAGCTTACATTCTAGTTGCAGAGGAACTGCAGCGAAGTAAGCAAAAGTAAGCAAATATATAACGTATCAAGTTGTGGTAACAGACATAAAGGGAGGGGGGTTGGTAGACACGTGTTCTCTTATGAAGTGTGGGAAGGGAAGGCCTCAGTGAGAGAATATTTTAGCAGAGAAGTGAAGGAGATAAGAAAGTAAGCCATGCCAGCATCTTGCTGTCCAAGAACAGTAAGGGCAAGAAGAGATGAAGGAGTGGAGAGCTCACTCCGGAGTGATTATAAGCAGCCATGAAATCTAACCTGGTTAAAAAATGAAGATGAGAGTGATGAAGGATAGCAAAAAGCTGGGAGGATCAGTGTGGGTGGTAGGTCTTGTTGGGGCTGAGGAATCTTTCAGATAAGGAGAGTAGAGGAGGCGAACTGGAAAGCTGGCAGGTGATGGCTGGAGAATACTCAAATTGCTATTACAGAGATGTTTTATTGGCAGTGGTACCTTCTAAAGTGAGCATGGCTGAGGACAGGATCATTGGGAGAGAAGAGATGAAAATTTCGAATAGCTAAAGTACCGAAATCACCATAGTTTTGATAAGAACAAAATTGGAAAGTGACAATGTCATAGTCTAGCGTAGGTAGTTTAGGAGTTCACCCTGCACACTGTGTTGAAAATACAGCCGTAAAGGCACAAGGGCAGAAACAAAAAAAAAAATAGAGGCTATTGAAATCACCTAGAGATGGGACAAGCTTGCACTAGGGGAGCAGCCACAGAGGTGATGAGACATGGTTGGATTCTGTGAATATTGAAATCACCAGAATTTTGACAAGAACACAGCTGGAGAACAGTGAGCCAGGAGCTGAAATCTGATGGGTTGGATAGTCTGAGGACATGGTACACAGACTGCATGGGATGGTCCCTGCTGGAGCAGACATGGGGTCTCAAACTCCTGAAAAAGAAAAATAAAATCCTAAGCCCCCCAACCAAGTGAATGGGCCTTCTCCCGGCTCAGGGGACTCCAGAATAACCTTGAAAGTTTGGCCATGATGAGATGGGGGTGCCAGACACAACTCATTATGCCCCCCTCCCTGGCTTACCTTGAGTGAGCTTTCTTCCCTAAGGGCTTTAAAGACAGCAGCTCTTTCAAAAGACTCCATGGCTGAGGTTAAACAACCGCCTGACATGGCCCCGTCTTTTTTGCCTGATAAAAATGCGGACCAGAGTGGTTCTGGCAGTCTACAGAGAATGCACAGTGAGGGTTTTGGTGTCCTCTAATTCACCTTTTGACACCAGAAAGTAAAAAACTCCATCTTTGATCATGCTAATGCCTTTTTTCTTTGTACACGGGACCCACACAAAACCATGAAACTCCATTGCACATGTGCATATTTCTCCTTTCACGAACATTCGTGACTCCTATTGCTTCATGAATATGTTTATTCGGCCACCCTGCTCAGCATACATGCCCGTTCCCCTTGCACCCCACTTAAAGTATGTTTCTGGCTGCAGGTTTTGCTCCCCAGCCTGTCAGAATGGCCACCATGCAGGCCACACCCCTTTGAAGAAATAAAGCTCTTTTCTTCAGATTTGTGAACCCTACCGTTCTTTAGCTGACACTCTATTGAAAGGTTTTAAGGAAGAAAGCATGATCTGGAAGTGACAATAGGAGTAAAAGTCCCATATCCAGGCCCACTGAGATGAGGGCTGTGGGAAAGAAAATGGCCACCACCTGAGGAGCCTGCCAGGGAGGATGCCGTGATTTCAAGACTCGGACAGGTTTCAGTTAGAGCAGGCAGGTAAGTCACTGTCAGAGAGGAGGTTGCAGATAACTAGCTGGGAGATCCAGAGGGCAGCAGAATGTTAGGAGCTGGGGACAGAGGCAGGTGATGTGAAAGGAAGTAACTTATGATTAGAGTGGGGGGGATGAGGAATTCTGTGCTACCTGTGGGGATGGATACAGGGTATGATCACAACAGCCTTGACGTTCCCAAGGCGGATGGTTAATACTATTAACATGTCTCATTAGGAAATTCTATATACGACTGTGAGTTTATATTATTCATATTGGGGGCAGGAGGTAAGTCTGGGTAGGAGGGGACAAGTTTTAAGCCCATCTCTACTCCTGCCTTTGGTGACATGAGGTAGAAGAGGGGTTATCCCTGAATTCCTCACTCCCTCCAAGCTCACTCTCAACTTCACGGGTTCTGAGTGGTTATTTTCCTGCAACCACATTTAGCTGAACCTGTGTAAGGGTAGAAAAGACTAAGAGCCCAAACTAACCAGACATTGAGCCTTTGGCAGGCAAGAACAATGTGGGTAGAAAGGGGCAAAGGATTGAGACTTAACACAAGAGGGTAGTTCCAATGACCTGCCATGAAATGTAAACTGATTCAGACAGGAAGTATAAGGGTGATGAAAGACAGCAAAAAGGGTCGGATCAATGGATGGAGGATCTTGTTGGGGTTGAGAAATCCCTGAAATCTGGATACAAGAGGGAGTGATCTGGAAAGCTAGCAGGTGCTGGATTTACAGTAGAAATCATTTCTCCTCTTATTGGTGTCTTAACCTATCTTGGATCCAGTGCCAAAGATTTCTGTGAATATTCCAGATAATGGTCAATGCCTTAACTTTACCAGAACAAGGCTGTATCTCTCAGCAGAAGAATTATTTTCAAGCTCAGCTCCTGCTGCATCTACATTTATGCAGAGATAAAATCCCGGAGTCAAGATAGACTGGAAGCCACAGCACTGATAGGGGTCAGAAGAAATGGGTTTTGATCGTGTGCTTGTCACAAGAACACCCCACCTCTCCCTCTGCTTGTTTCCTGCTATTGAAAGCAAACATTGAGCTGTGAGAATAGAGTCAACATACGAATTCTGTAATGGTACCTGTGCTTAATGATATGTACACACTGGATAACTTTCTTAAAAACATGAGTGAGGAATGAAGATAATTTTTTGTAATGCTGTGTTCTACTTCAAAAAACTATTAGAGAGTTTTGAGACCACCTCACATGGACAGGTGAGCTCTCAGTACAAAGCCCCAAATCTTCAACCAAGATCATTAGGAATGGTCTGGAGCTCGGGAGAAACACTTCAGAACATAGTGATTGAGAAAGAGGTCACAAATTGGAATACCTACAGAGCCCTAGAAATAAAGTAGGCCAGCTATGATGTAATTGGGCATGGAGGGGACTGTGGCAAACTAGAATGGGTACTGGTTTTTAGGACAGGCATGAATTAGCTCCAGATGATTGTCTCTTCCTCAAGTGCAGGTCTTATGTGGCCAAAAAACCACACAAGACCTATTTCTGAAAGCATCCAGAATCTTGATTTTATGTGAAATTTCCTTAATAATCTGTAAAGAAATCAAAATATTCAAACCACTGCATGGACCATAAAAACACACTTATAGACAGATTTGAACTTCAGCTACCAGAGTACAGTGCTCTAAGGTTGTATACGGGTGGCGATTCCAAACAGACCGGGAAGAAATTCAGGTTTATTCACTGTACCCTGAGTCTTCTACTGTCGAGTTAACAGATCACAGTTCTTAGCACATAATGGGCTCTTGGTAAATATTTCTTGAATAAAAGAACATACTGGGTGTCAAAGAACTGCAGCATTATTTGTCCAGTCATTTTCATGTGTTTTATCTGCTGCCAGCCACCCCCTCCACCCACCAGTACCACGTCCTGGGAAACACTGTCAGCTAGAAATCA